GGAAATTCAAGATTAGCCTAGGCTACAAAGTGAGCCCAAGACCACTTAAACCGGAGAGTGATGCCCTATCTCAAAGAGACGGAAAAAACTCTTTAGGTTGAAGGTAGCATGATTATCTTATTCTATTACATTCTACCCTTTTGGAGTATAGAACACAATTGAAATTCATGTTCTTCTAAAAGTTTGTTTTACAATTTTTTTCCTTTATTCACCTTTTCACTTAGATGAGAACATTAACATACCAGAGTTGTTAGCATGAGTTCCAACTATGATATTTCGGTCTACTGGTTTTAGCTCTTCAAAAATGAAACTCAATTAACCAATCAGGACATGAAAAATGTCCAATATCTATGCCATTAGATAAATTCAAATTCAAACAACTCTGAGGTTTCATATTTCTGCAGAAGGGACAGTTATCATCAGGAATTAAAGAAAAAATGGTGGTGAGGCTTTGGGTCAAAAGACACCTTCTACATTGTCAGGAGAAATGTAAACTAGTGCAACTCCTGTGCAAATAAGTATGAAGACACCTCGAAAATGTGAAACTAAACATTAGATTTGATCAAATTATTCCCATTTTACTCATTTTCCTCCAATAGTGAAAGCGGTAACACCCCCGTGATGCATGCATACCCGTGCAGCAGCACAACTCGGATTCGCTACATGCTGGAAGTGGCCAGACACCACTAAAATGAGTAGGTAAAAATAACACAGTATTTATATACAATGTAGTAACACTGTGCTGATAAAGAGAAATTCAAGTCATTTCAATAAAAATGAATGCACTGTGACACCATAATACTAAGTGAAATAAAGGACACAGGAACTTAAACATCACATAATTTCTCTTAAACTCGAATACCAAAATATAAATAATTTAAAAAATAAAACACAGATCATCCAAAGAGATAGATGAGTCTTTTGCAAAAGAGATTGGGATCTACACATGGAGTGAACCAGACAGTGGAAAAGAGGACAAATAAAAAAAAAGATTACAATAAATTTAATACCCCCATCTACTACCTACAATGAATGAAAACATGTGCTGTGACTGTAACCAAAGAAAAGTGATTTCTGAGTTTGTTAGATATGAAAATTAATGACTCAATTTAACAAAGAAATGTTTTAAGTTAAGTGTTCTTGTATCCTCATATATATTCCCATCAAATTTGGGCTATCTGCATAAACAGAATTTACAAATTTATCATTTCATACAGAGACAAACATTATTATATAACTCATAATTGAGTATTTTGCCACAAAATGCATTTAGATTTCTGAAGATCTCAAACACAAAGTGAAACCATAAATATTTCTACAATTTTAAAAGCATGAGTTACAAAAATGCTGTAATGGTATTTAAACATTTTTTCACTTTTGAAAACTCATTAGAATGCCCCTGGAGCAGGAGTGCCATTTGTAGCACTCTTACATGCAGGGAGACCTGAAGAGAAAGGGTGAAACTCAGCAAAAGCTTTCCTGACAGAGGTCTGCAGAGGCTGGACAGCGACCCTGTCTGGAAGTCTAGATTCTCTGGGTGAGGAGCAGCCGGTCTTCTAGATCCATCTGTGAGACCCCAGCCAGGGGACAGCTGTTGCTAACAAGAGTGGTTCAGTTCCCACCCATCACCCTGTCCTTAAGGCTGTAGCACAGATGATATCTGTAGTGTGAGGATGATGCCTCTGCCCCTTTCCTTCAACTGCACTCAGGCATCTCTCTGACCCTGGGCCTCAGACTCACTTTACCCTTAGTAAAGATCAGATGCAATGAATGGATGCAGGCAGGATCTACATTTCAGGTGTTTGTCCTTGGACCACCGTGGACCTGCAGATGTTGAGGAGAGGCAGCCCAGAGAATCATCACACCCAGCACATGAGTCATTGCATGGACTCCATGGCTATAACCACTGCTTATATACATTATCAAGGTTCCAGGACACAGAGCTTCCAGGTCAGGGAAGTGCAGCTGCAGCATTCTTGGTGTGTTATATGGAAGGCTCTCCAGGTCATCCAGTTCTAACATGGGTTTCATGGGTTCTGAGAACCTCAAGGGAGACCCTAATTTTCTACGCTGGAGATGGGCTTTTAGTGTAGCCTCCAGCTCATATGCAAGAGAGGGAGTCTGTAAGTCCCCACACCCTGGCTGAACCTAGGGATTTGTGTCCAGCAGATTCACATGCCTAGAAATCAGGACCCATGCTACAGATACTACTAGGAATGGTAGCAATGGATGCAGCAGAGGACAGAGCCCAGAGGCTGTGTGTCTACTCCAAAAATTGCCTGAAGCTCCACCTGTATAATGCATTCCTGGAAGGGACACATGGGCAGACAGTAGCATTCCCCACTGATGCTGGTGATTGGGTGTCTGATCATATGGTTTTCCAGCAAGCAGCTGCCTGATGCTCTGGTTCATCTCCATGATAGACACCTGGGTTCTTCAGGACACTGTCACCAAGAACAACTGGGAAGTCTTCATCTACATGTCCCTTTCCATTCTGCCTCCAAGACCAAGATCAGGCATAGACACAAAGCCAAACCTGAGTCTCACCTGTGTGCAGCCTTTTCCATGTGTGTGGGAATGTGTGTGTCCTGGTTGTATGCTCTTGCTCTCCCTCATAGGTTCATTTGGAAATTCCAATAGCCCCAAGAGGAGACAGATCTTGCAAATGACACCAAATAACAAAGATAGTGATGATCCTGAAGCTGTGGGTCCCCGAACAGAGTCTGGCAGGCGGTGGAGGAAGATGCACAGGGCTACCCTGTCCTCTTCTCTGACTTCTCTGCTGTCTATAGCTTCACTGAGTTCTGCTCCAGGTGAACCTGGTCCTGGAGCTCCATCAGCCATAATCTGTGCTCCTCACACTGCTGTGCCTTACTATGGAGATTCTCTGTCCTCATGGTTAGATCTTAATCATCCTGGCCCAACAACCTGCACATAGAATCTCTGGATGTGTGGCTAATTCCCCCACTGACATGTTCTCCTTTCTGGGAATCAGTGCACTTTTCTGGTTTATTTCTCATGTAGACTACTTTGACTCCTTATAGTCACACTTGGTGAATTAATGGTTGTTCATAGTTAGGGAAATTCATTTCCAACAAGTGAGATAGGTTCCTGGAGAAGCTCTTTCCTGAGTTCCTCACTAGGAAAGGCTCTATGTCTATATCTCACTGATAAATTTTTCCTTCCTGCACAGCTCTAAGGAATCATATTAGTACCTCACCTTGATATTCTAGAAGCTTCTTGAGGTGTCATGTTGGTGTGTGACCCCAAAGAACTTTCACTCTCACCCTGCTCCTCTCGAAGTGCCAGGTTGCCAGCATCTCTCCCTCAGTATTTCTCCTCTCTGGGCTTCCAACTCCTCTGCTTGAAACAAGACTCAATCAGTGATTCCATATCTGACTGTATTACTAAATTTCTTTGTGACTATTCAACTTTCAATTTAATTTCTTTCATTGGTCCATGATAAGATAGTGAAGTCTCAGGACAAAATGCTGTACACTTTAAAATAGAGAGGATGGCTTCCCATGATTTTCCCTATTGGAACAAAATAGAGATGCAACTTCATTGGACATATTCACCTCTTCCCTGAGTCACAGTCCTGCTGTCCTTACATGCAAATGACAGTGGGACTCAGTGACACAAAGCACAAGAAACAGAGTGAAACAACACAAATTTTTGAGAATTCAGGGATCTCCAGGAAAATGGAAGTCAGGAGGTTCAATAGGGTGGACCCAGCTACATCTCAGGATATGTAATGTTCTGGAAGGTGATCTCACCAGGCCTGAAAACAACAGATACACATGGGACACCACAGGAGACAGGAACTCTCTTTAGTGAAACCAGGACACAGGAGGGATGATGACTGCCCAGGTGAGGTGCAGAGCTGAATGAGGAGGAGCAGTAGATTTAGTTTCCCAGAGTGACAGCTACCATTATTTCCATGGACATGTCCAAAGGACATGTGCGGCATCTATGTGTGCAGACATCACCTCAGCTCTGCCTTCTAGAAGTGCACACATGTGCAGATTTCAAATAACTTCCTTCTCTTCAGTGGACACTTGTTTCACAGAGTGCCACAACATTAATAATAGTATTAAGTATAGAGATGTATCTGGCTATGATACAAAAATTTATGAAAAGGTATGTGACTAATGAATGCAGAATGAACTTACATAAATTTAAAATGAATAAAGTAGAAACTGGAGAATATGTTAAGGAAAGAGAAATGGATGTTATGAAGCAGAAGCATTTTATTTTACACATTATCTATTAATATACTGATATATAGCTTGAAATGTGTTCAGTTGTATTAGAGAGGTGGAGACAGAGAGAGACACAGAGACTAAAATAAAAGAATGGTGAAATTTACCCTAAACATTTCAAATTTCAAAGCAACCTAAATAAATTCTGACCACTTAACATGAAAAGAAAAAGCTCAACAAGGTCTTAGAACACTGCTCATGGCGAAGTCCAGCTGCCCCCCTTCTTACTGTTAAGCTCAGAGCTCCTCATGATTGGGCTGAGACTGGGGACCAGGTCTCCTGAGGTGCCAAAGAGAGAAAAGACCTGCAAGGTCTCAGACCATGTGTAGAGGGATAGGAATAATTTAATTTTCTAATGTGACACATTTACTACTGCAATAGACAATGGCTCTTTATAAGAGGAAAATTAAACATTTCATTTTTTAAATTTTTTTTTTCATCTTCAAAGTTAAACATTTCATATTTAGATAATCATTATGTGATATTCAAAACAAACTTAACTTCTCAAAATATATTTTGGGTTTTATTGCCCTTGTTAGAAAAATTATATGAAACAGACCAAGAAAATAATATGTGTAAATAACAAAAATTATAGTTGTCTCTTGAATAACCCGTAAGTCATCTGAAGCCTGGGTATCTCTAGTCTCTCCTTCTGACGTTAAGGCTGAGAGGAAACCCCAGAGGCCTACAGGAAGCCCTCAATCCCCTGCTTCCTGTTCTGCTCCTGCTTCAGTGGACAAGGCCTGGTCTCAGTTAGTGAATCCCCGGCTCCCCCTGCTGGAAGTAAGTGCCCCTGCAGGGAGGTTTGTGTCTGGGCTGACAGTGACATTCTCTTACTGTGTCTCTAGCACAGTAATACACGGCCGTGTCCTCGGTTCTCAGGCTGCTCATCTGCAGATACAGCGTGTTCTTGCCGTTGTCCCTGGAGGTGGTGAATCGGCCCTTCACGGAGTCTGCGTACTTTATATAACTACTATCACCACTGATGTATGTGAGCCACTCCGGCCCCTTTCCTGGAGCCTGGCGGATCCAGTGCATGTAGTAATTACTGAAAGTGAATCCCGAGGCCACGCAAGAGAGTCTCAGGGAACCTCCAGGCTGCACCAAGCCTCCCCCAGCCTCCACGAGCTGTACCTCAGCCTGGACACCTGCAAACAGAGACATGCTGCTCAGGAAAAAATTACACATATTTTCTTTTTATCACACTCGTGGCCATTCACACATTCATTATTACTTGTTTTTCATCAATTACCCTTTAAAATAAAAAGGAGGAAAACCCAGCACATTTTAAACTCCATGGTGAGCTGTCTGTGCTCAATGCTGATCACTGAGTGGAAACACCTGGACCTCCAGGTCTGTGCTCCTCTGCAGAGCTGCAGGATCAGGTCTGGGCTGGTTTTCATCAGAACAGCGGGCCCCTATTTGCATAGCCTCTTGGTATATAGTCAGCTCAGAGGAAGCCTCATAGAGGGAAGAGTCCAAAGCACACGAGACTGTTTTGAGAGGTGGGCAGAAGAGCCCAAATTCTATAGAACACACGGTTTCTTCCTTTGGCTGTGCAGTGATACATATATAACCTCATCTATTTTACTTATTCTTACATAGATGTAATTAATGGATTTAGTAATTTCACATGTTTTCACATATGTGCATAGAGTGAGTAGCATAATGAGCCATGAGATGTGAACTGTATTTTATAAATCTTTCCATGCATTTAATCCAACAAACCTTGCCTCAGTTCTTAATTGCTGGTGGAGCAGATTCAAGACAGAATAGTCATGCTTCATGATATTTGTCAAAGATCTTCTTTTAATTAGAGAGCTTGGCAGGATTTTCTGTATTGCACTACACTCATAACTGAATAGGCAAGCAGTATCTTTTTCAAGCGTATGCTCAAAAATCTGGTGTCTCATTTTCTCATCTCTGCATAAAGCTTTCCATTGTAAGGTACTAATTACAAATATATTTATTAATTTTAACGATGGATAAATGAGATGCATTTTGACACAAACTACCAACATGATAATACTTATAAATTACACCCATTGTCAAGATATGCAGTGGATCACTACTCCTAAATTCTCCTGTTTTATTTCATAAAGTCTCCCTCTTTATTGTAGATTTTCCTCAACTGAAACATTTATTACTGCAGGACACTGTCCATTTCTCTTGGTGACAAAATTAGCACTCTAATATTCAATGATGATAAACATGAGTATTGTGTACTCCAAATAATCTAATGTCTTAACATTCTCAGTCTACTTTTCAGTATATGCAAGTTCTTATTGCCGTCACGCAGAAATTCACATAACGATTTTGAAAATTGCAAGTGTAAATGTAATCTGTCTCGACCAAGTCCCTTTCATTGCTTGGGCTCTGGAGAATTCTTATGTGAGGTGGAGAGGACACACTATATGTTCTCCGCCTTGCGTATGATATTAACACAAAGGGGACGTTCAGACTCAGAAGGGCAGCCTTCAACCCTTAGCCTCCTGATCTGTACCTCCTCCTGGGCCACCAATGTTTCTCCATATATTCCCAGGGTTCCTTCACTAGTCCAGAATTTTCCCATCTGGTCCTATGTATCCCCTCTGGAGCTCAGAGACCCTCCTTTCTTGGTGTTCTGCACCTGCCATTTGTCCGGAGCGCCCCTTACTGGCCCATGCTAAACTATACATAGCTTTATGTCTGGGATCCCATTTATCTCCCCTCAGAAATGGCCTTGCACAGTATTGCACAGTGTTTTTAATAGATACTGAGGTCAGGTGCAAGGAGAACTGGTTCTTGCTTGTATCTTTAGACATGCTGAGTTGTCAAGGATGAATTATAAGCTGTGTTTCCTCTATCAATTACCTTGACACATTGATTCTGTTTATTTCCTAGTGGCTGAAGCATCCAGGTCCAAGGCAGCATCTCATTGCTGGAGAAACCAGAGAATGTGCAGTTGGGGGGGGGGGACTATGAGGACTTCATCGGACCATATCAGGGCTCTTGCAGCAGCAGCTGAGACAGAACTGTGGGAGAACACAGTGAGTCCTGAGATCAGATGCAGCATCTCCACAACATCCTGTTTGAATTTTCCAGAGCACAAATCTGGGATCCAGCACCAGACAGAGAACAAACCAGTGTTGTGGGGTTCTTGAAGACTCTTTACAAATATTTGAGAACATTTTAAAAATGTTTAGATACAAACAAATTAACTCAATATGCTATATGAGTTTATCTGTTACCTCCTGAAGTATTTGCATTTGTGGAGTCTTCTTGTACATAATGTTGCAAAGAGACAGAGGATATTCAAATTTTTAGGATTGCCTCAGTGTGAAAAATGGTGACTGAGCCCTTGAAGAACTCACTGATGTCCTGGGGTCCATTTCTCCTATTCCAACCACGTACTCCTACAAGACATATAACGGAAAAGCTGGTCAGGGAGCAATGTTCACAGATGAAGGATGAGTTTGTGGATATGAAAACTAGAGCACAATACCCAAGGATAACAGGGCTATGAAGTACATACAGCACATGTGTATAGAGGGTGTACACACAAGATATAAAATCAATGCACATTCTATGTGCCTATGTACATATCTATGTAAGCATCCTGGCTTAAATAAGCTGTCATTTTCCATTCTGTATTTGCTCATACCATCATTCACATATTCCAGGGTGTTGAGGCCCTCAGCTACATGCACTCTTCTCATTGAATTGGGAAAAAAATTGTCTCGGACACAAAAGTTGACATAAAATTTGTAGACTATTAGACATTTATCTGATTATATTTCTGTTTGTGTATGTGAAACGTTATCATAATAATGCATATTTATGGGGTTGTGCTAAGATATATTTATTTTTGCCTCAATCCTTACTCTTTTTTCTATCTCACAGTAGATGTTTACTCTTGTGTAGTGTAATCTCTGACCTTGAGGGACACAACTTAGTTTCTTAGGAATACATTTTTTTTCCATAGCAAAGTGCATTGCTGTTAGGACACTTAGGTTGTCAACTTGCTACTTGGTGGAGCACAATGCTGCACATGAAACTCACAAGTGAGCACAGAACCTGCCACTGAATGCCTCTCAGCTCAGTGATGTAGGTGATATTGGTCCTGAGATGACTTTCCCTAAGAGAGAGATTCACTTCTTACTTACCACTGGTGCATTGAAAGGCTTCCTGGTATGAAGCAGCAAGGGCCCTCATGATTTATTGAAATCCATAGCAAAAGCTTCACAAGTTACTTAATGTCAGCATGGAAAGATGCAATCTACACTGGTAGATTATTCCTGTGTGAGCCGACATTCTTACTGATATTGTGAAAAATTTGACTGCTTTTCTAATGTGTGAGTGGTTGGCTTTAAAACATCATATGTTTGAACACCGTAATTGAATACTTTGGTTTATTACAATCTTTAGCATTAGTCCAAAGGATTCTGAAGTAAAAGGTATGTGAGATCTGAATGTAGCAATAAATACTATACAAAATTTGAGTTTTATTCTCTTTGCTAAAGAGGGTGCGTTTGCTGTTTGCTGAATTGGAGATAATAGTACAAGTAGCCAAATTTTCCACATAGTAAATCTTTGTGATTTTCATGATGAAAATCCTTATTTTTAATGAACCAAATTTAATGAAACTTCTTGATATCATACCAGATATCTGTATGGTCCATATCTCTACAGACCTTAGTAACTACCCCTCCTTCCATACACAACTTTGTTCTGTATTTTAATTTCAAAACAGTATGAAAATCTAGCATCACCAAGTATGTAAACAACTATATTTCAGTTTAAGCTTCTAATTTCTCATGAAATTCAATCAGTTTGTACTTGAAACAATGTGTGTGTAAAATCCTACTTAACACCTGAGGAAATCAGAGTTAATCACCAGTGCCAGACATGGCAAATCAGGGGGCAGTGGCCTTCCCACTTGTCAACTCGTTCCCTCCCCCAGCCCCACAGTCAAGGTTAGTGAAGGTCAGCATGAAGCTCGGGGGCCTCACAGCATTCTTTCCACTGTCTTGTCTCACCCAGAAGCATTGTCATGTGATTTGCTGTGCAGGAGACAGTCAGTGCTGTGTACTCAGCCAGCCTTGGTTTAAGGGGCCACTGCTGTCTCTTTGCCTTATGCATACAGTTTTTGTGAATTATTTACAGTATATACTGTGCCATCTTAATTTTTTTTTTATCAGTACCAGGGATCAAACTCATGACCACTTGCTTACAAGGCGCCATTTTGACTTTTATGGTATTTGTATGTTCAAATAAATTTACAACATTGAAACACTTGTGGTGACAGTTAAAAAAATACAAGAAGATTTAATCCAATGTCATCTCACCCCTATTATACCTGAATATTTCAGGTACTTATTAACAATCTTTTATGGAAAAAAATATATGAAATAATAAATATGTGAATTTTATCAGTGATGTTGACCCAGAACAAGCTTTGAAATTTTAGGATCAATTGACAAATTCACAGCTCTTCAAATCTTTGAATGCCTTACTCAGTATCATCAAATTTATTGAATTAATTTTTTACTAAAATGCATAGTTTAAAAATTCTTAAATGATGTAATTTTTCACTGTGGGTAGATGGTAATGTCACGTGTATGTTGTCATATAACTGATAGGTAGTTTTTGTTTATTTCTTGTTACCCTAGATGATTCATATTATGTACATACCATAGTCAACTGATTGCATATGAAACACATGTAAGATCATGCATTTTAAGACTTTCTTACAACTTTACACTATATTTTTCTAAATTGTTTATATATGCTATAAAACATTTAAAATTTTTTTTCATCGTATGCAAAGGTAGTAAAATGCAAAATTTACAGTTTCCATAATGGATTTACTAGTTATATTATGGTATTTTATTGTATTATCTGCTGGCAATGGGTTTTCAATTAGACAATGAAGTAATTATTTTAAGGTTTAGTTGCCATTTTACATAGTATTTTTAACCTTTTGTTTCTTTGCTCTTTCCATTACCCTGTAATATTTTTTTTTTAAATATAAAACACCTGAAAATAAAATGCTTCAATGTCTGCGCTCTTGGGACAGACTCTGTGCTCCACATGTCCCTAGCGCCCCCTGCTGCTCCTAAGAGCCCCTGCATGGAGGCTTTTGTCTGGGCTCACACTGATGATCCCTCACCATGTCTCTGGCACAGTAAACAAGGCCGTGACTTTGGGTTTGAGGCAGCTCCTGAGCAGATACAGTGTGTTCTTGCAGTTGTCTCTGGAAATGGTGAATCGGCCCTTAACTGATTCTGCGTAGTTTGTGCTACCACCATCCCTACTAATCCATGTGATTCACTCCAGCCCTTCTCTGGAGCCTGCCAAATCCAGTCCGTGTGATGGCTATTGAAGGTGAATCAAGAGGCTACGCAGGACAGTCTCAGGGACCTT